GGCGCTGGCGGCGGGCGGCGGCCGCGGCGGTGCTGTTGGTGGAGATGCTGGAGCGCGCCGCCTTCTTCGGGGTCTCGGCCAACCTGGTGCTGTACCTCAACAGCGCGAACTTCAACTGGGCAGGCGAGCAGGCCTCGCTCGCCGCGCTCGTCTTCCTGGGCGCCTCCTATCTGCTGGCGCCCGTGGGCGGCTGGCTGGCCGACGTATACCTGGGCCGCTACCTGTCCGTGGCGCTCAGCCTGCTGCTCTACCTGCCCGCCTCGGCTGTGCTGCCCGCCACCGCCTACAGCGACGGCCGCCGCTCCTTCTGCGGCGAGATGCCCGAGATACCGATAGAGCCCGCCTGCCCCTCGTCCGGCTGCCAGCGTGCCTCGCCCAGCCCCTACTGCGCGCCCACCCTCTACGCGGCGCTGCTGCTGCTGGCCTTGGCCTCCAGCTCCGTGAGGACCAACCTTACCTCCTTCGGCGCCGACCAGGTGGGTGCAGGACACGCTCCCCAACGGGAGGCCCTGGGGATGAGCAGGCAAAGCAGTGGACTTGGGCTGGAACCTGGGAGTCAGGAGGCACCAGGCTCTAAGGTGACCTTGGACAAACCACTTCCCGTCCCTGCATCCGGTTTCCTTCTAAGATACCCGTTATCGGTTACCTAATGGACCCCAACTCATAACAAACCTACAGAATAGCATATAACTGCCTGGTGGCGTAGTGCCTGAGGGACCTGACTGCTAACCAGAAGGTTGGCAGTTCAAACTCACCAGCCACTCTGCCGGAGAAAGACTGGGCAATCTACTTCCTAAAGATTCACCACCTCGGAACCCCAAAGGGGGTCACTATGAGTTGGAGAAACTCAACAGGAGTGAGTTTGGTTTTTGGTTTGGCCCCACAGGGTTTCCAAGGCTATAATCTTTAAGGAAGAAGACTGCCACATCTTTCTCCTGCAGAACGCACTTTCCCTTAGCAGCCAAGCTCTTTAACCACTGCACCACCAGAGCTCCTTCAATTATTGTTAAAAACAAAACAAAAACAAAGCCACTGCCACAGACAGAAAATCTGGAGTGGCTAGGGGGTTTGAACCACCAACCTTTTGGTAAACAGTCAGATACTTCAAGCACTACACCACCAGAGCACCTTTGTCCATATGTGAGTATTGTTATGTCCGTTTTACAGATAAAAAGACTGAGGTTTCACAACATGAATCAACTTGTCCAAGGTCACATAGAGAGCAAGACAAGGACCTGGGTACCAGCTCCTGGGCTCCAGGTCCCACTCTGAGCCCCATCTTTATGTTACATGGATCTGGGGGTGCTAAGACAGAAGCACCGCCAGGGGTTGTGTCGGGCAGACTCTGGTTCGGATCCCAGCTCAGGCACTCATGAGTGAGGGGCACTTGGGCAAACATCTTAATCTTTGAGTCTTCCTCTGTAGCCCCTAGAGCAGCTCAACAGAGATTTGCTGACTGAATGCACAAATGTCTAATGACAGAGCTATATTTGAAAGCTCTACTTAGTAGGTGTTAGGTTATCATTTTAAACGATGCTACAGGGACTGTACAATATTTTAAACCACCAAGTATGGTGTTAACAAGCAGAAGCAGGACGCAGGCAGCACATGCAGACACTTACAAGCGGATGAACAGACCTATATTGTTAATTGCCTTTGAGCTGACTGACTTGTGGCAACCTTATGTGGAACAGAAGAAACTTTGCTAGGCCTGCACCATCCTCATCATCACTGGGGCCCACTGTGTGGCTGTAGTGTCAGACCATCTCTTTGGAGGTCTCCTCCATTTCCATTGACCCTCTGTTCTGCCCACCATGACATCCCTTTCGAGTGATTAGTCTTTTCCTGATGATATGTCCAAAGTAAGGGAGCCATCCTCACTTCCAAGGAGCATTCTGGCTGTATGTATTTCTTCTAAGAGAAGACTAGGTGTCAATTAAAGGGGAAGAGGTGGTGGAAAACAATTGTAACAGTAGTATGGTCAGGCCACTGGGCTAACAGTGCCCCTTTTATTCTAATTGTTTCTGTTTTATAAGTGCATGTGTTAAAATTATTACAGGGGAGATTTTTAAAAGAATCCTTTCATGCCCCTGGCATCCATCATCCTGCATGCAACAGCTTCCAGTGTCCTTGCCAGGAGTCACCTATTCAGCCTGTTTGGATTCCTTTGACAATGGGGGACTCACTGCCTCAAGCAGCTCTGTCCATTTATGGCCCGTTCCTGGCCTTCCTTCAGACCAGGACACCCTAACACCTGCTGGCAGGAATCAACCACCTTCCCTTGATTCTACTCTCCCTTTGACACCTCATTCCACTCTTAGCTGCCCTTGATCTGTGACCTTAACCCCACTGGCCTTCAAAGGACCTCAGCCATTCAAAGTCCCTTGCCTCTCTCCCCTCCTGGTGGCAGAGCTGGTCTCTGGATGCTAGTAACAACAGTGACAAAAGCTCCCAAACATTCTCCCATCCTGAGCATGGACTCTGGACAGAGTGACGCTGAAGGCTATCTGAAGGGTTCTGAACTTGACCCCTAGCACAGTGTGAGGATGGACATCATTGGCTATGCGCTCTGAAAAATGCCAGCAGTGTAAAGGGTGCATGGAAGGACAAGAGTGGGTGCATCAGAGCAGTGAGGAGGCTGCCACAGAATTCAAGGAGACAGTCAGATGGCACATGTGGGGATGAGAGGGTTGGCACCATCTGGCAGACATTTATACCCAGGAACTGCATGTTTAACATGCTTGCTTATTTCAGAAAGGGCCATCCATCATTCGAGACAAAGTGTCTGTTCATTCTGGGGAACTCATTTATATCCTGAACGTACAGCCTGATTATCCCCTTAGAGTTACAACTGTCATATTCATTTACTGCCAAGTAATACATAGAAATGGCTGCTCATAATAGGACTTCCTCAGTTTTCTCCTTGAAAATCTAGACGGAAGATTCTCAGTGGGTGGACATGCCCCTCCTTCCCCATCACCAAGAGTCAACCTCAGAGTCTTGAAGGAATGCCATTTTAAATACATCTTTATGGATAATAATTTCATGTTTGGACAAGGAAAAAAAAAGCAATCCTTTCCACAATGAACTATAGAAAGTAAAGCTTGGCGAAATCTTAGCTACAGGAAATCTGTATCTGTGGGAAGGACAGTAATGGGTTCTGAGATGTTGGGGTTTATGAGAAGGCAGAGTGGCTTAACCATGTAGAGAATCAGGAGACTCCAAGTTCATTGCTTTTTTATTTTTTAAATTTATTTTTCTATTGTGGTGAAAATTTTTTCAAAAATCCACCAACAGAACAACTTCCCCATTGACAATTCAATGACATTGACTACATTTTTCATGGGGAGCCACCATTATCATTTTCCTCATTGCTTTTTCAGGAGTTCTGGTAGTGTAGTGCCTAAGGCACTTGACGGCTAACCAGAAGGCTGGTGGTTCAAACCGACCAGCCACTCCTCGGAAGGAAGGTTGGGCAGTCTACTTCCATAGTGATACAGCCTTGGAAACCCAAGGAGGGGTTGCTATGAGTCAGTGCCAACTCAACAGCATACCACTACCACCACCACCACAACATTGCTTTTTTAAAATGCAGATGTTGGAAAACTCAAAATCATAAAAAAAAAAAAAAAAAAACAGATTTGCTGGTCTGATGGAGCCTGGTGAGACCCCCGAGACTATGGCCCCTAGTTACCCTTCAGGTCTGGAACTGACCTCACTTCTGTGGCTTCCAGCCAAACAGTAGACCGGCAAAAGGGATGAACATTTATATCAGGTAGCTATCTATATTCCTTGGAGTGATCAACGACCCATCCTGGGGGAACAGAAGAGCAGTGTTTGCACAGGGTATAGCTCAGGGGGCAGGAGCGCCTGGGAGGGAAGGCCACAGGCAAGAAGTAATTACAGGGAGGAAGTGGGAAAAGAGCTGTTACATTGTGGGGAATTGCAGTCAAAGTCATGAAACAAAATGTGTATGAACTGTATGGAAAATGAATTTGCTCTGTAAACTTTCACCCAAATCACAATGAAAATTAAAAAAATAAATACATACAATGCAGATGTTGGGACACTGCCCCAGACCTGCTGAGCCAGAATCTGGAAATAAAGGAAAAACATCAAGTTGATTCTGACTCACAGCGACCTTATAGGAAGGACAGAGTGGAACTGCAACATTTCCAAGGCTGTAAATCTTTACAGAAGCAGACTGTCTCATCTTTCTCCCCTGGAGCAGCTGGTGGGTTCAAATTGCCAACATTTGGGTTAGCAGCCAAGTGCTTAACCACTGTGCCACCAGGGTTCCTTAATCTGGGAATGTTATTGTTGTTGTTATGTGCTGTCAAGTCAGACCTGACTCATAGCGACCCCTCCTTGGGTTTCCGAGGCAGTATCACTATGGAAGTAGACTGCCCGACCTTCCTTCCAAGGAGTGGCTGGTGGGTTTGAACCACCAGCCTTCTGGTTAGCAGTCAAGTGCCTTAGGCACTATGCTACCAGAATAAGGTCTAGGAAATGTGGGGCCCGCCAGTACCGCTGACCTAAACTAGCAAACTCGAAGGTGGCCTGGGGCCTGACGGCTGTAGATCAATGCAAACTGGGTAAAAGATTTTCAGCCCCTACGTCCTTGCTGGGGGATCTAATTTTCCCCCCCCAATCAGCTGAACCATTCTTGGGACTCTGTGCAGGCAGGACCTCCTCTGCTTCCCCTGCTTGTGCAACCTTGTTTGACTGGGCATATATACCAGAGGGAGGCAGGTCAGGGAAGAGATGGGCCATAAGATAACATTCTGTCTGCAGCTCCAAACTGCAGTGAAGTCTCCATCCAATTTCTAGCTGGTCTCTCAGTAATGTGTGTAAGTTACATTTAATCACGGGAAGCAGACTTAGATCTTTCTTGGCTTTTTTTTTTTTTTTTTTTTTTTCTGATTCTAGAAGTAAGGCATGCTGCAGTTTACACAGTCAAAGACAAAGGAGTAAATCAGCCAGAAATGAACAAAGTAGCCAGAAATGAACATCTGTTGTGTGCACTGCTTGGTGCAATAAAACAGCAAAGTGTGTCATAAGCGTCAACAAACAGCTGTGTGGAAATGTCCCGGTCATTAGCAAGGGTTCTCAAGAGAAAGGTTTATTCATTCATTCCACAAATCTTTAGTGCATCTTTAGTGATCAGAGACTAGGAAGGTGCCAGAATGCCCAGCCACCAACCCATGAAGTGTCTCTGTGGCAGACAAGGGGTGGGTACCTCACGGGCAGGGCACTCCCGGACCTTGTCAGCCCTCACTTTCACCCTTGCCTGTCAGGTGATGGATCTTGGTCACCATGCTAGTCGCTGCTTCTTCAACTGGTTCTACTGGAGCATAAACCTGGGTGCTGTGCTCTCGCTGCTAGTGGTGGCCTTCGTCCAACAGAATATCAGCTTCCTGCTGGGCTACAGCATCCCTGTGGGCTGTGTGGGCCTGGCATTCTTCATCTTCCTCTTTGCCACTCCCGTCTTCATCACCAAACCCCCCACGGGCAGCCAAGTGTCCTCCATGATTAAGCTTGTGCTCCAAAATTGCTGCCCCAAGCTGTGTCACCGACACTCTGCCAGGTAAGAAGGGGGCCCTGGGAGAAGGGAGCCACCAGGCCTGGAGAACCTTCCTACTTCCCTGGGGGGGCATGATCCAGATCAGGGACACCCTGGTTCCAACCCTAGTGATAGCCCTTTATTCTGACCAGTGTCAAGGCCAGTGTTGGAGGTCAAGGTGGCGGTGATGGTGTTTGTTACTGGCAATGGGCTAAGTGTGTAGAAAGTGTAAGGATGCTAGTGTAATGATCTTGACAGCGATGGTGCTGATGAAGAGGGGGATGATGGTGTTGGTACCTATAGTGAAGATAAACGCTGATGATGGTGATGACAGTGGTAGTAGAAACAATGATCATAGAGATGGTACCAGTGAAGGCCATTGGGAAAAAATCTGAAGAATTCTACACTACTCACATTAAGTATAAGATCTAAGAAATCAGACACATTCGTTCCCTCCCCTGTTAGCTGACCTCCAAGGTAGGAGGAAGGTTCTGAATGGCCTTGCATGAGCCCAATGGCTCCCTTTGACCCCTCTCCTTCCTAGATAGTTGACTACCTGTGCTAAGCAAACCTGATTATCTGCTGCCCCTATGGCCCCACAGAGACCCACAAGGTGCCCAACTACTCCCTGACCAGAGGTCTCCCCAGCCTGGTCCTTCACCCCAAGAGGACATGGCCAACTTCCAGGTGCTGGTGAAGATCTTGCCCGTCATGGTAACCCTGGTGCCCTATTGGATGGTGTACTTCCAGGTGAGGAAGGACTCCCTGCCCTTTGGCTCTGAAGAGCCTGGCCCGCTAGTCTTCTCACTGGGCTCAACTCTTCAAGCCTGGGACACATGACAGCAGGGAAAGGGGAAGAAGCAAATGAGCTGCTGCTAGGTACCAGCAGGCCTGGGCCCTGGCACAAAGGCACGCTCAATACAAGAGTGTGGAATTGGCAGGGAGAGGCAGGCAGTATAGCTGGAGGAATCTGTGAGACTGAGATGGCTCGGCTACCTGCATAAGTTGCTCCATGTCTCTGGGCCTAAGTTTCTTCGTGTGTAAACTGGCGGCTTAGATTAGGGGCTCTCCCAGCACTCAAGTGTTTGGATTGTCCAGCTTGGCAGCTGAGGCCCAGAGAAGGTGAATGGGCTGCTTAAGGTCCCACAGCAGGTTAGGAGCAAACTCAGTGCTTTACCACAGGGATTCCCCAGCCTGGCTGTGCCTTAGAATCCCTTGTGGAACTTTTAACATAAATACAGAGCCTGAGTCCCACCTGACAATTGAATTGGAATTGCTTAGGGAGGGCCCGGGAGTCTAGTTTAATGAAGTTCTCAGATGATGGGGATACTCAGCCAGGCTGGGAAAGTACTGCTTACCATTCCATATTGCTTCCCATAGGGAAGGTTAGAGAGAGGTGTGTGTGTGTGTAAGGAGAGCAGGCATCAGCCAATGCCAGGCCCAGACCATAAGCTCATTGTCTTCCATACCTGCTCATAGGAACCTTGACTGAGTTGCAAAAGAAGACAGGGTAATTCAGGATCAGTGTCCGTGATGGCACAGGGACATGGTGTGAGGGATGCATGGACGATTCTCAGTCATACTGGTTGTCAGATAATGACATTCTTCCATACTAAATGGCTGCTCCTTGAGTGACTTAAATGCCCTCCCCTCACCTGGTCTCTCCCATGGGTTTCCCCCGGATCCCTCTCCACAACCTCACAGCTAAAGAGGTGATGCCTAGTACGGCAGGGGGGCTGTGTCTAGAGCCCATTCTGATTGATGAGTGCCTACTAAGCTCTGGCTGTGTCAACCTGTGGGACTCAGCTTGGCCTCTGTGTCAGATGAGAACTCCACGGGGACAGTCATGTCAGTATCTTCCCCATTGGAGCAAATATTTACCCCTGCCTATTCTGTGTCAGGTCTCGGAGACACAGGATGAATCAGACCCAGCTGTGCCCACCCTTGCCCTGGAATAAGCCCGCAGGCACCACTCATGGCTCTGAGAGCAGAGCAAAGCCTGGCTTCTAAGAGGCAGCAAATCACTTTCCCCCTGAGGCCACAATAAGGGCCGGCTGCCTGTGGCACTGCTGAGGAATGCCTGCCTGGGAGCTAGGAATTCCTGGGGCTGGAGGCCTGGCAGCCACTCGATCCCAACTCACGGCTGTCTCTCCTGGCAGATGCAGTCCACGTTCGTCCTGCAAGGTCTTCACCTCCAAATCCCCAACATTTTCCCGGCCAACCCTGCCAACAGCTCCGTGGCTCTTCGCACCCAGAGCAACAGGTACTTGGTAAGAGAACAACCATGTGTTCGGCCTCCGGCTCAGGCTGAGCTGGGGCTTCCTCTGAGCAAAGTGGAGGGAAGTTGCCTCCACTCTCCCCTCCCCTAGCTACAAGGGGTCCTCAGAACCCAGGAGGGGCACTTGGAGAGTGGGCAAACTTGTGCCACAGCCTCACTGTCCTGCCAAGATGCTCAAATGAGTACAGGTCAGCTTCACTCACCTGAAATAGGCCTCATTGCCTGCTTTGCACCAGACTCTCAATCAGATGTACTCAAGCCCCTACTCAGCCCTTCCCCATTTCCTCCCTCGCCGGGTCTCCGGGATCCCCAGCTCTCCACCTTTCACCAGGACAATTAAAACCAGTTCGACACATCAGATTGTCAGAGCTGGCAGATAAATGGCGTGTTTGCCACTACATCCCCATTCCTTGCCCATGGCAGACATCACTAATCGATGGCATTATTTCACACTGGACTGGTGAATCTTCCGGGCACCCACGACCAACTGAAAGCAGTGAGAATACAAGAGAAACTGATTTGCCACCCCTGATCAATCCCACTCCCTAATTACACAGCTGAGGGGGCTGAATTCAGGGCAGATTCGGGGTCACTGGGGAAGTCTGGAGTCTAGGTCTCCCGACTCCAGGCCCAAGCTTCTTTCTGCTAACTGCCTCTCATGGCTCCCTTCTGCCCAGATCCCAGAAGCCTGGCTCCTCCTGGCCAACGTCGTGGTAGTGCTGATCCTGGTCCCGCTGAAGGACCGCTGGCTGGACCCCTTCCTGCTGAGGCACAACTGGCTTCCCTCGGTTCTGAAGAAGATGGCACTGGGCATGCTCTTTGGCTTCACCTCCATCATGGTGGCAGGTGCGGGGACCTGAGTGGAGGGGGGTGCGGGGGGCGTGGCTTCACCTCCATC